GCCCCTGTGTCTTTACCTGTCTTCATCATACTTCAGGCAGCTTCCTTCTTCTTGTATACTGCCCTTTCTGTCACTCAAGTTAACATGTGTCTACCCTACAAACAGTGAACTCCTCTCCCTTTCTTCCCATCTCTGGCAACCATCAAAGAATGTTCCTTTTTTTCTTTTATAAACTATATATTACATATTGTGGAGCATAAAAATATATATTTCTCATTATTCCTCCCTTACCCATTTCAGCCTATGTCTTAATCCATGTAACTATGCACAGAACACTGTTGTTCCAGGGTTGTGAATATATCACAATTTACCTCGATCCCATTTAGCCCATACATTCCTCCCTGTATCTTCACTTGTCTTCACTATTCTTCTGCCACGCTCCCTCTTCTTGTATATTGTACTTCCCATCACCCAAGCTAACATGTGTCCACCCTCTAGCCTGTGAATTACTCTCCCCTCCCTCCCAAGCCATCAAAGACTGTTTCTTTGAGTCTGGAAACCTTTTCTTAAGCTTTTACAATAATGGTCTCATACAATATTTGTCCTTTTATGATTGACTAATTTCACTCAGCATTTAATGTCCTCCAGGTTCATCCACATTATGAGGTATTTCATAGATTCATCATTTCAAATACCTTTCTAAACAACTTAAAAGGGAACTACACACATGGACCTTACCAGATGTAATAAACAGAAATCAAATTGACAATATCTGTGGTAACAGATGGTGGAAAAGCCCAATGTAATCAGCCAAACCAAGGCCAGGAGTGGACTGTGGAACAGACCACCAAAATTGTGAGTATCGTTATGACGTTTGTGTGGACACTAAAATAGATTGCAGAACCCAGATGTAAAGTAGAGCGTGCTGTGTGAGGGGCAGATTTGGTACAGAATAGGGGAAAGAAGGTTGTAGGGTGGCGGTACATGTGACCTCCGCTTCATAGGAATCGGCCAGAGGAAGTCAGATATGGCCCCAACATGGTTTTTGCAACAAGATAATCAAAGTTAATGAACAGCTATTTCCTTAGGTGAAATTCAGTCTTTCTGAAATCACTCAAATTCTTCCCTATTGTACACTGGTATTAAAAAAAAAAAAATACCTGTGCCACCTAAGGACCTTCATCTATAAGGATCATAACTAAAACAGGTACTGGTATTCTGCTAAGGAAAGCAATAAAGTACTTAATGTATTTTAGGAAGTCTATTATAAAAACATTGTCAATCATTCTGAGTGTGTGAATTCTGATATACTCCTGATGGGTGTATAAGTTAGAACAAACCTAACAGGGTTGCCAAAGGCCAACTTAATAATATTTATAAAAATCTTTAAAATATTCCAAAAACTATCACCTTTAGATTCTCCATATAATCTGAACCTAAACTATCCTAAGGTTACCTGTAAATAAAATATTGGCTCAGAAAACTAAAGAATATCACAAGTGAGTACTGTACATCTCTATAAGACCAAACGGTGAACCAATGATTATGAAGCAAAGATGAAACGGTAAGAGGCAGGGAAACCTGATTACTCAAAATGAAACATCCAGAATGCAATGAATGAGAATGTACACACATTGTAAAAATGTAACCAATGTCACTGAACAAATCTGTGCAATAATTATTAAATGAGAATCTAATTTGCTGTGTAAATTTCTACCAAAGGCATCATGTTATTTAAAATTAAAAAAAAAAAAAATTAGGTTAGCAAGATATAAGGCTGTGAATGGCATAGAATGTGATTATTTTTACGTGGGGGAGATATGGGAGGCCTCACAACAGTAATATTTCAACACAGTCTCAATGAAATGAAAGTGTAAGACATACATGTACCTGGGTATAGGTGTTCATAGGTCCATGGAGGAGCAGTTTGGTTGAAGTGAAAAATGAGAGGGGAAGAGCGATAAATAAAGAAGGCAAAGTAGTTTAGAGAGTCCTCATTTCTACAGGCTTCTTTCAAGACTTCAAATAGTCACATGTTTTTTATAAAATTGAAGTGGTTATGATCACTATCACTTTACTCTCTGACTTCCTCTCTCTATCACACAACTAGAGTCCACATTTTTATATTACATCTATTCATGTAACTGCAAGTTTTGAAAAGGAAAAGGTTTAAATGACACCATTTTTAGAAGAAACACTGCAAGAGAACTTTCAAATTAAACAAGTCTGATTATCAACCTAAATGGAGTTGCCTTGGTCTCCACGACATCATCAAAGGTGAAAGCTTATTCAATCTCCATTTCTGGGTTATATAGAATCCTAGATTTGATAAAACGTCTACACTGATATTTACACTGGGGGTCCTGGTGAGGTGCTGTGGGTTAATGTGCTGGACTATAAAGTTGGTTTGACCCATAAGGTAGGTAATTCAAGTTCAACAGCTGCTCCTCGGAAACCCTATATAGGGTCTCTGTGGGTTGGAACCAACTTGATGGTACTTAACTACATCAAAACACAAACTGAACACTGTGTGAAGGAAACAAAGCAAGTATTTAACCATGAGATGTGCAAACTAGGCTATGAAGTTAACTCCCTTGGGTCCATTAATAAATACCTTTCAGGTATTTAAGAACAAACTTGCAGTCTTAAGTTTTTTTTAATCCTATTTGTGACCATTGTGGACCCTCTATCATTTTTAGTGGAAAAAACAAAAAACCGGCTATAAAAGTAAATGGTTTAAAAAAAAAAAAAAGCTAAAATGAATAGAGAGAAATACTGTTAACTGATAATACATGGAGAGGAATATAATCATTATAATGAAACAAGTTGTATGATTTGTTGAATGTAAAGCTGATGATCTGCCCTGTTAATTTTCACTCAATTCACAATAAAAAAAAGAAAGTAAATGGTAATCCAATCAGCCTCAAATGATTTTTGGTTAGCCCACTGTATCCACTCTCATAGAGCTATTGAGACTTGGTGTAGCTGTATATGAAGCACTGGACTGTTAAGTTCAAACCCACCAGCAGCTCCCGGGAAACTACAGGCTAACTGAGTCAGAACTGGACTTAGCAGCACTTAGAGCTACTGAGGAAAGCCATACTTTGTGTCAATACAAGTTTGAGTACCCACCTAAAGGTACGTATTTCACTGTGGCTTGCTTGGCCCTAGGCCTCATCATTCCACAATCAACTTAGCAATTGTGTGCCGCCCACCTTTTAAGCATACTACCATTTTGTTGGGTTTGTTTATATCACATCTACACTTTCCCACAATGAGTGTGTAGGAAATACAGAACTGCCTCAGTTCTCCAATTCTGAGTTGGCTGATGAAAGTTTGATTCTATAATTTGATGGCAAGTGTCCTGGAACCACTGTCCCCATATTTTAGGATCTCACAGCTCATTCTGATTTCTAGAAAACATCTGTAGCAGACTCCATAAACAAAAATTCTTCATTTCTAAATGCTATTTTTAAAAGCTATGTTCTGATTGTGTGTATTGAAGTTGTTCATCTAAAGGAATAAATGTCTATCAAAGAGGGGAAAAAAACATATAAGAAAAAGGAGAAATTATCTTGAAAAAAAGTAAAACTACACTGACAACATTCTAAAAAGTATCTGTAGAGAACAAAAGTAAAGAATTAATGTCTTCAAAGTACTGGGGTAAAATCATTGTCAATCTAGAAGGCTATCCTCAACCAAATTATGATTAACTCAACAAATACTTAAACAGTGCCTATTATATATCAGACTCTACTTAGGGATTTCTAGTATAAAGGCAAACAAGACAGAGACTCTATAACCTTATAGAGTTTATATTGCAGTAAGAATTATTTTAAGACCCAAAACAGATCAAAGAAATTCTTTAGCTGCTCTCCTGGTGTCCTGAAATTTCCATCTCATAGAAAGAAAATGAACTTAGAAAAGCTTTTACTTTTCTGTAGTGCTTTTAAATAAATTACCTGATGGTTCATCATAGGCTTTCATAATCAGTGGTGTATGAGACCCTTGAAAGTATACAGAAATTTTAGTGTATTTCTATATATGAGCAGTTTTCTGCCCATGACTAAACAAAGGTTAGAATCAATTTTCTCTGACCCAAACCCCTCTACATTATAGTTAAGTGTTATATTTTGGTTCCCACCCACCAAAAACTAACCCCAGTTCCATAAAGTTGTTTCTAACTCATAATGACCCTATAGGATAAAGTAGAGCTGTCCCACAGCAGACTCTAAGTTCATTTTCCAATCCTTTTAGCACATTATTATTATTGGTATGACTTCTCCACTAGACAGCAAGTTCCATGAATACAAGGGTTAGTTCCATCTATGTTGCTTACCAGCCTCTAATACAGTAATTGGCATATGGAAAACAGAGAGCAAAACTGAAGTATTCTGTATCCTATCTTCACATAGTTGAATATTTTAATGTTGTCTATTAATTCTAGTATAAATTCTAAACAACTTATAAAGGCTTTAAAATAAAGAACCTTAAAATATAAACTTGGTATATCCTTGATTATATATTTACCATAAAGAATATTGTTGTTGTTGTTGTTAAGTGCCGTTGAGTCGGGTCATAAAGAATATAATAAACATATAAGTATTAGAACATATTAACTCAATTTTTCTTTTGTTTGAAAGCCTAACTAATTATGTTATTAAATGTACTGTCATAAAAGCTGATCCTTACATCATTTTTTACAAAAAAAAAGGGAAATAGAGGCAGAGTATGAAGTGAATTCAAGATGTGTGTGTGAATCCTAACAAACATGACGGTCTTTTTTTAAAATAGAAAAAAAAGCTAAAGAATCGTGAAAGGCACAGAAAAGTAAATAGCTTTCCTCTAGAAAAAATGAAACAGTTCTACAAGGCAAGAATGAATCAGGTTGGTGTAAAGGCTCATTTAAACATTTAAGTCTATCCTTTAATTAAAATAAAAACAGAACAGTCTCAAATTTAAATGATTTTCCTTTCTTTTTTATATTTTAAACAATCTTATTTTTAAAAAGATAAAGCTAAAAGCACAATGAAAAACCTTAAAATTTTTTTTTTACTTACCAAATTGGCCATATAAATTGTGAGGAGCCCTCTCCTGCAAATAGTTGTGAAAAAGAGAAATACAAATACAGTAAGGTCAAATATCAATTTGAGTTAATAATCTGTCTTATTTTAGAAATCTATCAAAAGAATTATCAAAAGTTGAAAAACTGATATCTTAGAGGATGGGATATATTATGTTAATCAAATGTTCAGTCCCCTAACAGTCCTAAGTAGATACTATGAGTTATTGTGTTATGTGCCATCAAGTTGGCTCTAATTCATAGCACCCCTATATAGGGTTTCCTAGTTTGAAATCTTTGTAGAAGTTGAAAGCCTCATCTTTCCCCCACAGAACACTGTGGCTCTAATGGTTTTTAGTCCATTGCCTAACCTACACAGACAGCGCATTTATTCTGTCTGTTGCTGCTGTTAAGTGCTTTTAGAGTTGATTCTAACTCATTAACAACTCTTTATAGGGATTCGAGAGCAGCTGGTGGGTTTGAACCAGGCTCTTGCAGTTAGCAGTTCAGTACTTATCCTAAAGCACCACACCTCATTCATTAAAATTATGACTAGAAGAATACAAAGCAGTTTTTAATTACTTACTATTGCTTCATCATTGGTTGTTATCAGGAAGAGGAACATAATTTGCTACTAGTCTATAGTAATGATAAAGAATTTGCCATTTAGTAATAAAAATCCTAATTCATCTTGCTGAAAAATCCAAGACCAAAACAATTGTGACTAAATACATTTTTTTAAAAAAACACAACAAATTTTAGGTTTTATGTTGTTTCAGCCCAACAGAATTATTCACTTCACTAGATTTAACTACAAATCATACTATATCACCTACATTTTCATTTCATTAAATGATAAGTAAGGTATTATGTGAATTTCCTAAGTCCAAAGGACAAAGATTATAAACACTCACTGTACAGAAGAAAAACATATTTACTAAAGCTATGTAATGAAAATTCAGGTAAAAATTCAAAAATAAGGAATATTTTCTGCTCCTAATCACTTTTTGTTTGTACTGTATTAAAAAATGAAGCACATCCTAGTCTCTATGAAAGAGAAATTTTATGTATTCTAAGAATTCAAATAAACTTTTAAAATTATAAAAACCTATTCTGGTTTCAATTATTAACATTTTTAGTTCTCAAAGAAAATGTTAGCTATACTAAAACAAGTACCAATATCTAGTCCCTTTCACAAAAATATCATGCCAGATGTAAATACTACCATTCTCAATAAGATCTTGATGTCAGACTTAATCATTTATAGTCCTCAGTAAACAATATTTTAAATGACTTAATAAATAAGATTCTTAATATCCCCAAAGCAACATGGAGACAGTATGATTTAACTGGATTTGAAAATCAAGATTCCAGTTAACTAACTCTCTGGTATGCTATCATTAAAATGAGAGAACAGGGCAATTATCTAACTTATATTTTACAAACATAAAAATTTTATTTTAAAAAAAAATCTTGCATTTACTATCAATATATAAACCATAACAATGGATCTACTCTTACTGAAAGTGGGAGCAAAAGGAAAAAAAGAGAGTCCAGACTCACCCACAGAGTAACACCCTCACACTCACCCCCACCTCAGTCTCCCTCCTCAGCAAGTCATCATGCACCTCAACAGCATAACAGAATCCCAGGGGGCTTCCAAAACTTAATTTAAAAAGCACTAGTAAGAGAATACATAGGATTCCTTTCATCTCATCTTTTTTATAATTTCTGTACGGATTGAAATTATTTTTACTAATCTTTACTCATCTTACTACTAAATTCTACACCAAAGATGTCCAAATATTACTTATTTTAGATCAATTATATAACAAAAATTTAGAGTAACATCAGCATTCATAAAGCACACATACACAGCAGAAAGAAGAGTTAAATGTTTCACAAATGATAATCATTCATTTTACCAAAAAGCTATTTATGAAGAAAAGTCTTAATTACAAATTCCAAAATGAAAATCTCTCTGTGTGGTGCTATAGGATAAGCACTGGACTGCTAAGTCAGTTCAAACTCACCAGCTGCTCCTTGAAATCCTATATAGAGTCACTATCAGTTGGAACCAACTTGAAGGTACTTAACAACACCACCAAGCAAGATGATCTCTGTTTTTAAATATAAGTAGTTACATTATTAGATAGATGTAAACCAGTGGTGAAACTAGAGCTGTTTTAGTGCTGAATTTTAGACATAGGAGTGTTGTTCTTGTTCAGTGCCATGCAGTCGGTTTCAGCTCATAGCGAGCCTGTACAGAGTTTCCAAGAAGGGCTGGTGAATTTGAACCGTCAACCTTGCAGTTCTAAATCAACCTTGCGGTTCAGTGTATTATCCCACAAGGCCACACCAGGACTCTTTGTTCATCTTTGTTGTTGCTGAGTGCCGTCAAGTCAGTTCCGACCCATAGCGACCCTGTACAGGGTTTCCAAGGAGTGACTGGTGAGCTTGAACTGCCGACCTCGCAGTTCAAACAGCTTTGCGGTCTGGTGCATTAACCCACAATGCCACACCAGCCATTCCTACAACTCTGCACAGTAGCTGGTATCTAAAAGGTTATAAATAAATGACTACTGAATTACTAGAGGTATTATCGGTTCAACCAGTAAGATGTTAGTAAGGATGCCAGTCTTATGCAATGGAGCACCTTATAGATATTGCTGTTATTGTTAGGTGTCATCGAGTCGGTACCGACGCATAGTGACCTTATGCACAGCAGAATGAAACACTGCCCAATCCTGGGGCAACCTCACTACTGTTGCCAGCTGGGGGTCTTCCTCTTTTTCTCTGACCCTCCACCTTACCAAACATGATATCCTTCTCCAGCAACTGGTCCCTCCTGACAATATGTCCTTATAGACATAGAATCATCAAAATTAGCCATTGGAAGACAGAAGCAATCAATGATTCCAATTTATTAGCAAACACAGAAGTGATCACATACCTTACATACGATTAAATTTAATAATTATGAAATAAAAAAAGCCTACTGACTTCAGTTTCATGTTCTTTTCAATGCTGTCTATACTGTTTCAACAATAGAAAATAGAAAAGATAACTTTCAAATACTGCAATTCACTGGCTTCTTATAATAATCTGTCTTAATGTGGAGTCTTGGTATGGTGCTGTATGATAAGCACTGTAAGGCTAATCACAAGATCGGCAGTTCAAAACCACCAGCTGCTCTTCAAAAACCATAAGCAGGGTCGCTAAGTTGGAACCTACTTGACAACACTTAACAACAGTAAGTAAGCTGTGAGGATGAATAAAGTCATCACATACTCTTGCTAGCCTGACAACACAGAATGTGTTGCATTCATTTTCAGGTTCAATTTATCCTTGGTTGGTGGGTTATGTACCGTGGAGTCGGTTCCAACTCACAGCAACCCTCTACAGGGTTTCCGAGGCTGTAAATCTTTATGGGAGCAAAAAGCCTCATCCTTCTCCCGCAGAACAGCTGGTAGTGTTGAACTGCTGACCTTGTGGTTCACAGCACGATTCGTAACCACTACGCCACCAGAATTATCCTTACAGACATAAAAAAGATTAGGAAGATCATCTCCTTTCCACCTTGGTCTGAATTCTGAACCACAGATAAATAGCCTCAAAAAGGAGGGAACAATATCTGTGAAGGATAAATGTTAGAACATAGGGCCAGATTATTTTTGGTAAACAACATAAAAGATGACCATACACATGGACCTCACCAGATGGAATACACAGAAATCAAATTAACTACATATGTGGAAAAGCTCCATATTATCAGCCAAAACAAGACCAGGGGTAGACAGTGGAACCGACCACCAATTACTCCTAGGTAAGTTCAGGCTGAAGCCGAAGAAAATTAAAACAATTTCCCGAGAGCCAAAATATGACATTGAACACACCCCATCTGAATTTAGAGACTATCTCAAGAACAGATTTGGATAATCAGACACTAATGACCGAAAACCATAAGAGTTATGGGATGACATCAAGAACATCATAGAGAAAGAAAGCAAAAGGTCATTAAGAAGACAATAAAGAAGGAAGAGACCGAAATGAATGTCAGAAGAAACCTTGAAAACTTGCTCTCCTGCTTGGAGATGTTAATGCAAATAGAAGAAATGAGGAGGTAAAAGAGCTAAACAGAAAAATTAAAAGGGCAGCTAGGAAAATAAAGTAAAATTTATAATAAAATGTGCAAAGACCTGGAGTTAGAAAACCAAAAGGGAAGAACATTCTCGTCATTTCTCAAGCCAAAAGAAGTGAAAAAATAAACTCAAGCCTCAACTTGAAATATTGGAGGATTCAATGGGAAAATATTGAATGATGCAGAAAGCATCAAAAAAAGATGGAAGGAATACACAGAGTCACTGTACCAAAAAGAAATGGTCAATGTTCCACCATTTCAAGAGGTAGTATCTGATCAAGACCCCATTGATCCTGAAGGAAGAAGTTCAAGGTGCACTGAAGGCACTGGCAAAGAAAAAGGCACCATGAATTGATGGAATTCAAATTGAAATATTTCGACAAAGTGATGCAGTACTGGAGGCATACTTATTCAGCAAATAATCCAAGAAGCTGAACTATATGAAGAACAATGTGGCATCAGGATTGGAAGAAGACTCATTAACAACTCGCATATGCAAACGACAAAACCTTGCTTGCTGAAAGCAAAGAGGACTTAAAATACTAACTGGTGAAGATCAAAGAGCACAGCCTTCATATGGATTACACCTCAATGTACACAAACAAAAAAATAAATAAATAAAAAATAATCCTCACCACTGGATCAGTAAGTACATCAAGCTAAATGGAGAAAAGACTGAAGTTGTCAAAGACTTCCTTTTGCTCACATCAACCAACAACACTCAATGAAACCGCTGTCAAGAAATGTCATATTGCATTATGCAAATCTGCAGCACAAGATCTCTTTAAAGTGTTCAAGAGCAAAGATGTCAGTTTGAGGACTAAGATGTTCCTGACCCAAGCCATGGTATTTTTAATAGGCTCATATGCATGTGGAAGTTGTACAATGAAT